GGTGGTGGAAAATGCTGTTTGAGCTGAAGGTCCAGGCACCATGGGTCACGGTGAGGGCAAGAGGCAGGGAGTTTAGAGCTGTGTATCTTTCAGTGTTAATGAACGCCTTCCACAGGGGCATTAATAGAGTAAATGGGACAGGAGGATGCACTTGCTCCGATGTTTTAGACTACAGTGCCCATCATCCCCCATGCCAACATGATCAATGATGAGGAATTATGGAAGCTGTTGTCTGAAACATCTGGATGCTACCAGGTTGCCTACCCCTGAAGTTACAGACAGTTCACCTTCTGTTATAATAACTAGCTGCCCAGTTGTTAACCATCTCCCACCCCGCCTCAGCTGGCCCCCAGTGATTTACTTCAGTGTTGTTTGAGGTCTTCCCAATGCTTTATTTATTGGTTTGTTTTGTTTGTTTTTCTTTTTCCTGACTGACTGTCGGATGCTTATCTGAAACAGAGAGACGTTCTTCACCGGATTGCGTTCTGGTGGTGGGCAAAGGATTTTCTTTCTAATTCATTCTGTGAAAGAAAATGGGAACAGTGATGGCCGAGAGATAGTCATGTCAGAACAGGCAAGATTAAATGTGTAAAAAAGGCACAATGTGGAGAAACTGAGTAAGTAGAGGTCTTTCTCCCTCTTTTCTAATATTAGAAGCTGCGGGTCATCCCTTGAAGCAGAATTCCGAGAGTTTCAGGATAGATAAAAGGAAGTAGTTCATGGCTAGAGTAGGGCATCTGCCACTCTAGTATGTAGTGTGGCTATGAGCAATTTATGAAATAATAAGGCCACACATTATCCTGTTTGTTTAGAACCACATGTATAATGGTCCATCCTGTGTGCAGTAAATTCATGAATCTCTTGATGCAAGTGGACAGCCCTGTGTTTTCAATGGGGTGATCTCTGGCTTGTGCAATTGCAAGGAGAGATTGCCAGGAAAGGACAACACTCTATGCCTTCCAGAGTCATTAGACTCTGCTTTTGCCAAGAGGATAAGTGCCCAGCATACCTGGAGCAGCATAGGGTGATGGTTCCAGTAGGAACCTCTGAAGCAAATTGGTAGTGAACCTAAGCAGGAAGGTGCTGTCACACTCATGTCCGGATTATTGGCTTCCTACTTGGGGTATATGGTTGTCTGCTTTTGGCAGCAAGGGGTTTGACTACCTTGATAGGTCTCACTAGCTCAGTAGGGCATTGGGCTGATTCCCAGGTCTCTTCTTGTCTTTATATATAGGACCACTCCCCCCGTGCGCATGCACACACACCCCATGCGCACGCGCACATTCTACAGGGGAAAGACTAGCAGATTGATTGTAGCATAGGCTTTTACAGAGTACAGCTCAGTGCATTAGGAGAATGGAATACATTTCACATGATGTGAACTTTCGTGTGCTAAAAAATGATAGGTTGGGTGAATGGTTCATGCATGTTAAAATGGACTCCAACTCACAAGAGCTTATAGTAATTTATCTTTCTTTTAAGTCAGTGTTTCCCAACCTTTCCCACTTATGATCCCCTTTTTGTAATAGCCAAGTAACCTGTGACCCACTGCCACCATATCTGAATAAAAAGGCATTTTAATGCGGTAAAGAAAACTCATTAAAATATTTTTCATAGAATTGTTCTAACCTAGTAGTAGTAGTAGGCATCCTTCAGTCTCGAAGGACTTTATATATAGGACCACTCCCCCCGTGCGCATGCACACACACCCCATGCGCACGCGCACATTCTACAGGGGAAAGACTAGCAGATTGATTGTAGCATAGGCTTTTACAGAGTACAGCTCAGTGCATTAGGAGAATGGAATACATTTCACATGATGTGAACTTTCGTGTGCTAAAAAATGATAGGTTGGGTGAATGGTTCATGCATGTTAAAATGGACTCCAACTCACAAGAGCTTATAGTAATTTATCTTTCTTTTAAGTCAGTGTTTCCCAACCTTTCCCACTTATGATCCCCTTTTGTAATAGCCAAGTAACCTGTGACCCACTGCCACCATATCTGAATAAAAAGGCATTTTAATGCGGTAAAGAAAACTCATTAAAATATTTTTCATAGAATTGTTCTAACCTAATATATTAATATTAATGTAATAATACATAATTATGAGGGAAGGCTGTAAATCTGCCTCTACCAGATAAAATTTGAGAAGGGGAAAAATATGAAGATATATTGAGTTTTACTATTTTTCCTTTCATATCTCCCCCCTCCTCCAAAAGCCCCCCCCCGGTGGGCCCTGCCCCGTGATGTCCCCTCATTTTCCTCTCTAACCTTTCTGCTCCTCTTGCCTTCCTCTTCCATGATTCAGGTGGTCTCTGCCTCTCTCCACCCAGGTCCCCTCTCCCTTTACCAACGACTGGAAGAGCAGGAGGCTCAAGTGGAGTGAAAGGAGTTGCTGCAGAAGGAATGGTGTCATCTCCACTGCAGCAACACCTTTTCAATCCTGCCACCATCTTGGGTATCAACGTCCCTAGCGTGCACAATGCACTTACCTCATTCAGGCCTCTCTGAGCTGGGCTCATGCTTGGATCCAGAAGTGGAGGCAGGGGAGCAGAGAGAAGCAAGTGAGAGAGAGATGCACATGCATAAAAGGAAAATCCACCCAAAGGGGTACAGAAATAACTAAGAACTCTAGGTTGCTTGTGTGGGTCAAGAGGGTTAAAATAAAACAGCATTGTGTACCATATTTAATATAATAAATATCAAAATTATTGCAACAAAAAATTACTGTGGTGACCCCCCCCCAAAAAAACACACTTTGTGACCCTCTCGGGGGCCGCAACCCCCAGGGTTGAGAAACTGTGTTTTAAGTGCTTGAAACCTCTTGTTGTTTAGCATCTCCTTTGGTGTTCTGACTAGAAGATTGCAAAGAATTTTCCAGAATAAAAAAAGGCATCTTGAGATTCAACAGGTCTTGCTGTACATGATGTAAAAGACTTTACAACTGTGTACCTCAAACTTTATGAATCAGACTCTGCCTTCAGAGCATCTTCTATCTCGTCTCCCCAGTTCCCAGCCAAGACCAATTATCTTTTCCGTGGGTGGGTGAACCCAATGAAGATTGCGACACCGGGTTGCAGTTTGTGAAGATTTGTAATTCAGCTGTACTAATCTACCAGTAGAGGGATGTGGTGCTGCTGCGGGTTAAACTGCAGAAGTCTCTGTTCTATAAAGGTCTGTAGATCTTCAGCTGTAAGATCGAATCCACGTGACGTAGTGAGCGCCCGTCGCTTGTCCCAGCTCCCGCCAATGTAACGATTCAAAAGCATGCAAACGCGAGTAGATAAATAGGGACCATCTCGGTGGGAAGGTAACAGTGTTCCGTGTCCAAATCGCGCTGGCCATGTGACCACGGAAAATTGTCTTCGGACAAATGCTGGCTCTATGGCTTGGAAACGGGGATGAGCACTGCCCCCTAGAGTCGAACACGACTGGACAAAAATTGTCAAGGGGAACCTTTACCTTTACTAATCTACAGTGGCATTTGAAAAAGTTAAAATCCAGTTCTGAAATCTCAGATAGGGAGACTGTCCTATAGATGGGATGTGGTCCACTTGTGACTCTCAAGGCAGTACAGGACTCCGACCCCCATAAGTCCTAAGCCTGCATGGCTCATGGGAAGGCAGGCTGGGGGTTTCCACCTAGCAGCATCTTGAAGACAACAGTTGTTTCTTAGGTTTTCCTAAGTGAGGCTGAGACGGCATAGCCCTTAGGATGCACTCAGGCTCCCCTACAGAGTGACATAGCTCTCAAGTGACTGTTTTCCACCAGGAAGAGTCAGTCCAGGTAGAACCGAGAAGGAAAGTTCTACCTCTTGCCAGATCCTGTTATTTCATCGCTTACTTCATTGGGCTTATCTCTTGCAAGAGGAACTTTCCCCACAAACTGAAAACAACAGTTCTAATCCTCAGGCACCACAGTGGGAAATTTTAGCCCTCCAGAGTCATGGGTTGTTGCGCAATCAGTTCAGGACTGGACCTCCCGTGCAGGCGTTTTCTGGTGCTGTCACCATGTGACATATCACCGTTTTGTATCTGCTCATGTACAGGTTTTGTAACAAGAAATAATCGAGACATATCTTGATTTGGGGGTGGCTTTTTTAAAAGGGGGGCATTGGGGTAGCTTTGTCCAAGCTGCTGTAACATGTTGGGACAGTAAATTGTCTCGTGCTTTCTTGGGTGTGTGTATGTGTGAAACAATAAGGAGAAGCAGAAGTGACACATTTGGCTGTCAGTGGGTTGGCCCCGTATGGAGGGCAGAGACTGGAATTGCCATCCGGTTCAGGAAATAAAAGAAATGTACATAATGCTTTGCAGAGTGTTTTGCACTAATGAGGCAGTATATAAATAAGTAAATAAAACCCTGTTGCTAACCATAAACCAATTCTAACCCTAACCCTAGCACCAACCTCTAATACACTGGAACTCTCATTGAGACCTAAAATATCCCACAGCTCACCCACTCTGTGCATTTAGGAAAAAAAAAATCTTGCTCCTGAGGCTTAAAAGAAATAGCTAGCTGTGCACAAAAACATGTGATTTCATGGTTGAAAGAAACAGAAGTAGGGGTGGACGTAGTAAAGCTACGTCACTGATAGCTTTTTTCCCCTCTGTGTTATTTACTACATGTAGACCCCACCCTTCTTCCCATGATGTCCCTTTGGAGGATATGGCCCTTTCCTTATTTTATCCTCACAGCAGTTTGGGAGGTAGACTAGGCTAAAAGTTGCTGATAGACCTAATGTCAGCCGGTGAGCGACACAGCCTGGGACTTGGGATCCGAACCCGGCTCTTCCCAGTCTCAATCCAACACGCTTAACTGTTGCATCTCATGGGCTTAACAGTTCTTGTGTTCTTGACCCCTTAAACTTTGGGTAGTGGAAGTATCTTTTAACATGTGGAAAGGAAAAGTAATATTGAACCTGTTCTGACCAGTGCTCTCTCCTGGATATAGAAAGTCCAGTTTTCTGCCTGCCACTGACTTCTTTTCTCTCTGCAGCGGTGGAGACCCAAAGCACCAGTTCTGAAGAGATGGTGCCCAGCTCCCCCTCGCCACCCCCACCCCCACGTGTCTACAAACCTTGTTTTGTCTGCAATGACAAGTCGTCTGGCTATCATTACGGAGTCAGCTCCTGCGAGGGCTGCAAGGTGAGTGAGGGCTGAGGGGTGGGTGGGTAGGTTTTGCCTTCCAGCTCCTGAGGCCACCTGGAGCTCTCTCTGGCCTCTTGCTGGTTCAGCTCTCCAAACTCCAGGCCCGCCATCAAGCCTGCAGTGGCTCACCCCAGGAGGGTGTGGTTGGCTGCTTCGCCCAGGCCTCCTTTCTCAGCAGAAGAATGTTGCAGCTGATGGGAATTGTTGCCCACACCCAAAAACAAATGATGCAAGCGAGATTCAATGCACAGAACAAGCCAATGTGGGCTGAGTTGCATCTTTCATTCCGGTTGTGGGACCTAGGGTTCCTTGTTGCAGTTATTCTGCTCGAGGTTCCTTCCCCTTAAGTACACAGCAACACACACATTCTACTGCAGGGGCTAACAACTGTGGCCCTCCAGATGTTGCTGGTCTCACTTTTGGCTAGGTTAGCTAGGGCTGAACGACAGTTTTACAACCTCTGGTAGAGTTTACCCCCTTCCCCGAAGCAGAAATAAAGGGTCAAGGCCGCAGGAGGCCAAAGCCACCCTGATTTTTTTTAATTCAAGGATTATCCTGGCTCTCGCCTTGAGCCTAGAGATCCCTAAGTGTGGGAGGCCAGAGGGCATGCAGAGAGGGAAGGGGAGGCTCCTGAGGCTGAACCCAGGGTGTGCCAGTTTGGAGGGTTTGTGCTGACATAGGGGCACACCTTTTGTTCCTGTCCTTAGCTGAAGAGGCTTTGTAGCCAGAGCATGTAGAGTCTGCTAGGCAGAGGTTGTGGGCAGAGCCTTGGGCAGGAGGGGGGCACCCTGTGATCCTCCATGCATTTGACTGGCAACTCCGCTTTATCCAGCCTGACGAATGGTCAGAGACTGTGAGACTTCCAGGCCAAAGCCTCTACCTCTGATCTGGGGGCCAAGTAGGCAATGCACGAAATTCATGATTGTATTTTATGTATCTGAGTGGAATCTTTTTTTTTTGTTTGTGAAATAGCTACCAGAGGGGGCATGGAGTCCTATTTCCCCATGTGAAATCTAGAGGAAACTCTTCAAAGGCTATAGAGGTGGGCAGCTATGAGCTGTTGAGGACTTTGGTCCTCACCGTCTCTCACGATTGGCTATGCTAACTAGGGCTGATGGGAATTGTTGGCCAGCAACATATGATGGACCACAGTTGCCCAGCCCTGCCCTGAAAAGAAGCTGCTATAGGGAACCCTGTCTTAGGCTAATGGGAACTGTAGTTCAACAATAGCTGGAGGGGCCCCAGTCGTGGTATTCTATTCGCACAAAGTCATTGTCTGTTTGCTTTTAAAACATGCTCCTCCTGATAAAAGGATCCACAAGAGTGGAGCTGGGAAAGGCACCTTCCACCCAAGACCTTGGAAGAACTGCTCCCAAGAAGACTATTCTTGAGGGACTGACAATCTGCCCTTTTTTCAAGGCTGATGATACTCTTTTATGTATCAGGCTGATGGTATTTTTTTTTAATATCCCAAGGGGCATGCTTATAAAATACTTGAGACAAACATAGCCAAAGCTCTTAACCTTCCTTCATAGAAACAACATGGGGCACCATCTTCAGAGCTGTTAAAATGTTCTTTCCTTTTACACATGTTGGTGAAGGTTCTTTCAGTGCAGGGGGAGCTGGGCCCAGATGTAATTTCAGAGAAATTTGGGGTGGTGCATTCCAGCTGTTTGTGGGGCTGGAGGCAAAACACTCTGGCATATTTTAACTTAAAGCCTTTATATTGTCAGTAATTAAGCTGTAAGGGAGGCATTTCAGCCTTATAGGATGGCAGTGGAGAGAAAAGCTGGGAAAGCAGTAAATAAACAGCATGCCATTCGGGGTACACCAGAAGGGCTGGATGGAGTCCCAGGGCTTGGACACCTCACCCTCTTTTAGTAAACAAGTCTTGGAGAAGGACAGTGAGTATACTGGGTGAATTCAGTGGGCAACAGGAAAGAAGGCTTGGAGAGAGACCATCTAGGAAAGACCCAGATGCCATTCTTTCCCTCTGCTCACCTGACTGTCTGTGCCTCTCTTTCTCTTTGCACTCCCTTTCTGTGACATTTAGGGTTTCTTTCGCCGAAGCATCCAGAAAAACATGGTCTACACATGCCACCGGGACAAGAACTGTCAGATCAACAAGGTCACCCGGAACCGTTGCCAGTATTGCCGCCTGCAGAAGTGCTTTGAAGTTGGCATGTCCAAAGAAGGTAAGGATCTCATGGGGGAACTTTGATGCGGCATTTGATTGGGGAAGATTTGCATTTAGGCCTTCCTGTGGCCTTGTGTAAAGCCAGAACACCCTATTTAACATGCTTGGGGCATCCATAGCATGGTGTGTGTCACACTCCAGCATGAAGTCCAAGAGGGACATGGAATGGCCTTGAAAATGGGATAGGGCAGGGATGGGGGACCTCCTGATATTTTGACTACAACTTCCATACAGTTGAAGTTGCAAACACCTAGCAGGCCAAAAAGCTCCCCGTTTTTCTCTTTTGTGGAAGAAATGGGTTTGGGGAAGAGGTTCCAAGAGTGTGAATCAGGGATGACGCGTGAGAGGCTGAGAGAAAAGGATGGTTGACCTAAGCATGAGGAGCAGCCTGATGCAAGTAGGGGCAATGAGGTGTAAGAACAGGAGAGGAGCTATGCTGGAGAAGATTAGAACCCCTTCCAGTTCAGCTGCCAACCTGCTCCCAGAATGAACAAATGAAAAGGCCACAAATGAGGGACTCCCACAAGGAGAAGCAAATGAGATTGGAAAAGATTGAGCGAAGGCCTTTCAGATGGTTATGCGTCCATACATAACCCCCATGTGTGAATGAAATGACTGTGGAGGATGTGTTTAGCTCAGTGGTTTAGGTCTCTGGCTGCAGAGCCAGAGGTACAGAGTTTGATCCCCACTGTGTCTCCTCGACAGGGGCTGGATTTGATGATCCACATGGTCCCTTCCAGCTCAGCAGTTCAAAGATGACGATAGTGATGATTATGTCTACTTTGGAACTACTAGCCTGTGTGTAGGGACTGCACATTACTGACTGTGCTTACTTGGCGTAGACCCTTCATAAATACTAATGCAAACAATCTGGATTGTATTTAGCAAAACATCAACACGCACAAGTATTCCAAAGCTTGTCCAGTGAATGAGACATTTTTGAGCCTAAACATGTCTTCTTCCAAGGCATGGCCTTTCTATTTGTCCCTCCCTCAGTCTCTACCCGTGGCTGTCACTACAGGCGGTTTTAGACATTGTGCATGGAAAACAGAATTCTTGTACCATGGTCTGTGTTGCTGAAGCCCTGGAGAACTCACAGAAGCAAAAAGGGGGTTTAGGACTCCTGCACAGCCATCTGCTTTCCGGATCTGGTTTCCTTGTAAGGTTGCCACAAGGATGGGGTGGATTTCCCCATGGAAGAAACCTTCCCCTCCGAACTCAAAAGCGACACACGGAGTTCTTTTTTCTTTTCCAAGGAAGATGCCATGAGCAAGAGACAATTTTGTGGCCATTTTACCCGTTGGGGGGGGGGGAAGAGGAGGGTGGGTTGATACTGTCTTCTGATGAAATTCTTTCCACGAGTATTCCTCTGAGGGGAAATAATTTTGAAAACACTCTCGTGGAGGAAGAACAAACAAGCCCGCCTTGATTGGAGAAGATCCTTAGGCTCTTTCCGCATTGCCGGGCAGGGTGTGTGTTTTCTGTCCCTTTAAGAGGGCTGTCAGCTGCCCGGCCTTCTCAGAGACAGAGTGCCTCTCAGCGGCTGTTGCTTTTACTCCCAACTGCTGAGGCATGTCTTTGCGCTGGCCTGGGCTGAGGCGCACATTAATCACTGTCTTTTTAAGAGCCCCTAATTAGGAATGTCTGTGTCTTAAAACCTGGCAATTTATTTCCGAGGGCCTGTCCTTTTAAAGGGAGCAGGCAGGCGGAGAGGATTGGGGCAAGGGGGCATCCGTGGAGGGAGGGAGCTGGTGGAGGATGTCACTGGAGAGTCAGGAAATGGATGGCCTAAAGTATGTGCCCAAGGGGGGAAAAAAGAAAGGGCCGGAGCAGGACTGCAGTTGAACATTAAGAATTCAGAAATCATGACTACAGAAGAACTGCACAGTTTTAACACTGACCATGAAGAAGCTGAAATAGTTAAAGATTTTGTATATAGTACCTTAATTCAGTTATCGTTTCAAATAAGAGACTGCAGCCAAGAAATCAGAAGAAGACTGAGACTCGGAAGGGCAGCCATGAAGAAACTAGAAAAGATCATCAGTTGTAAGGATGAGTCACTGGAGACTGAGATCAAGACTCATCCTTACAATTGAGAATCTTCTAGTTCCTTTTTCACATTCTTGTATTCCTGATCGCCTTGTGTGGATGTCAGAGATGACCGGGAGGGGGGGATAAGTTGAAATGTGGTTCTAGAGGAGATCTTTGTGGATACCCTGGACTGCCAGAAAAATGAACCAGGGAGTCCTAGATAAAATCAAGCCTGAATGATCTACCTCTGGAAGCAATAAATAAATAAATAAATGTTGAAACTGAGGCTGTCCAACTTTGGGCACATCATGAGAAGGCAGAATTCCCTGAAAAAATAATACGTACTGGGAAAGGTTGGAGGCAGCAAGAAAGGAGGAAGACCCAATACGAGATGGACTGACTCCCTAAAGGAAGCCATCGGCTGGGCTGTTGAGGACAGGACATTTTGGAGATAGCTTATTCATAAGGTTGCCCTACATTGGAGGTGACTTGACAGGACATAACAACAGCAATGTGCCCCCTCCATCGAGACTCTTGAGTGGGATTTAGGAAACAAAGTGCAGTGTGTGTGTGTGTGTGTGTGTGTTTGTGTGTGTGCGCGCACATACGCACACGTGCATTAAAAAACAAAAGTAGGGAAACTGTGGAATTGGGGAGAGGAGGCAAATACCCATTTCACTGGATGACTTTTATTAAACCTTCTAGTAATCTCTTGTGTTCACTAAAGTTACCTTTTCCAGATTCCCACCCCAGCCAGCATTGACCTCCTGACAAAAATCAGTGAAAACACCGGTGGTGGTGTTATGTGTGTGTGTGTGTGTGTGTTCTCTGAGCAGCAATTCAAAAAAGTAACTTTTCCAGTCTCTTGTAGCCTCAGTGTCTATTTCACAGTCTGCATTTGCATTTCCAAAGAATAGGCATGGGTGTTCTTGTTGCCCCCACAGTCCTGTGGCGGTTTTTCCAATCTCTCTCTCTCTCTCTCTTCTTTCTCTTCTTTCTCTTTTTCTCGCTCTCTGTTCCCCACCCTGAGAGCACTGCATGGCTTGGCTGGCAATCCCCACCCCCCACCCCCTCAGCATTGTGCTGACTGTGGCTATAAGTGTATATCCTGCCGATTGGCGTATCCTGTTCCCAGATCCCTGGCGCTTTATCCTGGGGTGAACAGGAAGGGCAGCCTGGGAAGGCTCAGGCCGACGAGAGTGCACACGCAACCTCAGGGCAGGACTGCTGATAGTGGAGGAGGTGGGTTGGCAGGCCTTGCACCGTGGGGTGGAGGATTAGTGGTGCTGCCGACACCCTTACTGGGGGGGGGCAGCAGGGAATTGAGAGGACATAAAACATTTCCCCATCACCATGATGATCATCACTATCACCACCACGGACTAAATACATGCATGCCAGCCCAAGAGAAACTCTTTCGGAGAAACTTTTGCTGCCGTCTGATCCAGATTGCTTGCCTGGAGGGCACATTGGTGCTGGGTCTCTTGTTTCCAACATCTGGAACTAGTTGCGGGAGCAAAGCAGCTGCTCTCCTTGCTGTGGCATGCATGCTGTGGTCTGCTTGATCTATATGAGGCACTGCTCAGTGGAGAGCCCTGCCTTGTGGCAGGAACCCAGGCCAGAGAGTTGGCCTTCTCAGGCTGCATTCCAGCCTTTTCCTTTCTTTCTCTTCAAAGGAAATGGGGCTTTCCTTCCATTTCCACATCTCAGCAAGGCTGTATCTTTTTATATGGCTTCTCTAAGTGCTCAACTGGGCCAGCGTGTAGAGAGGCATGAAACACACACAAGAGAGAAACTCCTCTGTGTCCATTCTGAGGTAAATCACATTATATGTCAGTGGAGCTTTCTCTCAGGAGAATGTGCACAGGATTGAACCTTGTACATCTAGGAGTGCCGTGTAAATGGCCCTTTAGCCACTCATTATCAAGTGAATATGACAAGATAGTATAAAAAGTACATAATCATGATATTTAAGTCATTATCCAGAACACCATGCATGAGGGCATACCATTCCCTCCCTCCTTCCCTCCCCCGTCCTAAACAAACCTTTTGCTGTTCTTTAACCATGGTTAACATTTATAGAAAGAACTAATGCAATCTTTTCTAACATGGTGCCCTCACATGTGTTGATAGGAGATGATGGCTGTTTTAATCCAGCACATTTGAAGAGCACCAGGTTGTGGGATAATGAATCCTCACTGAACTGTTTGGGTTTAAAGCCAGTAGAACCCAAGCTGCAAATATTGTGCTGTTCCTAGGACATATATGTTGTGAGCCGCCTGAGTAGACTCCTGTCTAGAAGGGCGGAATATAAATCCAATAATAAATAAATAAAAAATTTAGGACTTAGTGATGGCGTCTGGCCTAGATGCCTTTAAAAGGGGATTGGACAGGTTTCTGGAGGAAAAGTCCATCACAGTTTACATACGAGCTATGATGGGGATGTATAATCTCCAGGATTAAAAGGAAGGTACCTCAAAATGCCAAATGCAAGGGAGGGATATCAGGAGACAACTATCTAGTTGTTTTGTGTGCTCCCAGAGGCATCTGGTGAAGCCACTGTGAAATACAAGAAGCTGAACTAGATGGGCCTTTGGCCTGATGCAGCAGGGCTCTTCTTATGTTCTTATGACTTCTTTCACACATTGGCTGAAATTTAGTTATAAGTCACAGCTAGAGTAGGCCCATTTAATCAATGGAATTTACAGAAGAGTTGGCTCATCAAATCCACACTGATTCAGTGGGCCTGCTATAGTTGTGACTTGCTATTGGATTTCTGCCATGATGTTTCTGTGATCTTTGGAATGGGTGAAATTAGTTTTCACCCCCAAATAATTTCTGTCTGTTCCCCAGTTATAGTCTGCTCTGTTTTTCTCTCTCTGCCTCACCCACATCCCTGAATAAAGAATTTACTTACACTGTATGGTAGGAATGCATTTTATATCATTGAAGGCAAATTTTAAAATGTTTTATTCCATGTGTAGTCCACTTCTACCATAAAACACAAGGCCTGGCAGGCGAGTACAGTGCATCCATCTAATGGCCAGGCCCGGCCCTGCTTAGTTTCAGTCCTGGGATGTTGCTTCTTGGCCCAGCAAGAGGGGCAAAAAAACCACATAAATATCATCCGTCCGCTCAGAAGAAGCCTTGTGGGCTCTTTATCAGTCTGTAGTATGCAGATTCTGAAAGTGGAGTTTTGGCCTGACTAGAAACTACAAAGAATCAAAATGGATTTCACAGCTGAGCCATTTTGTCTAGAGAGTCCACAGCCAGGCCTGCATACTTTGTGATCAGTTGTTTAAAGCAGCCCACTGACTGTGCCTTGGGAGCCACTGAGAGCTAAGAAAACCTGTTGCAGCCATCTGCTGAGGGCTGCAAAAACTTGAGTGTTGCCACATATGTGTGTTATGTGAGTGTGCATCAGCAAGTGGCAAGCCACAATCCAGAGCTGGTGGACTGCATTTGTCTTGATGGATCACAAGATGGGGTCTCTGCCTGCTGACTGAAGATGTTGTGACCTTGGTTATTGTTACTCCCCAGGGAAGGGGAAACAGGGTTGGGTGGGTGGAGTCCGCCAACCACCACCCTTCCCACCCTGTCCCAACAGCTCTGCAGCTCTCTATCCAGCTGTCTTGGCTGTTCCTTCCTGTTTGCCTCTGGCTGAGCACTGCACTCAGTGCTGTTCCGTGACAGCTTGGCACATGTTTTGGGTCAGGGAACACGCTGTGCAGCCCAGAGGACAGGGTGATGGCAGAGGCTTGGAAACTCTGGAATTGAGACCGCCTCCTTTTGGTCCCAAGTGGGCTGTGGGGCAAAACACACCCCAGACCCACAACAGCACAGTAAGGACACATTTGGCAGGAGGATAGCTCCCCTGTTCTCAAACGCAGTTTGTTTGCTTAATTTATATACCTCCCTAATAGTGCAACACACTACTCTGGATGGTTTACAGTGTGCTAAAATAAAACCCATTATGGTAGAAGTGGTCTTTGCTTAAATTCCCCCTGAGAAGTATCTCTTAAGGCAGAGGGAGCACCTCCTAGGTGATGCCAGGGAGTTGGCACAGTGGCTACCTTCCTGACACAAAGGACTGTAGCTCAGGGATAAGAACACTTGCTTTGGGTGCAGAAAGTCCATGTTTCAATCCCTGACATTTTCATCTAAAAGGATCAGGCAGCAGGAGAAGGTGCAGAGAGATGATCCTCCTCTACCTGAGGTCCAAGGGAGTTGCTGCCAGGGCGAAGAGATGGGATCAGGTTTGGTGGACCCCTGGTCTGACTCCATATACAGCAGATTCATATGTTGCAAGAGGATAAACATACGGATCCAAGAAGTGACAGTTTGCATGCCTAAGCTTCTGGATGTACATAGGACTGGGTTAGAAAGGGACAGATCAGCTTGCCTGCTGTAAATCAGCATCTTATGTTTCTGTGTAGGCCAAAAGTCCCATTTCAATCCCCAGCACCTGTAGGTTGGGATGGGAAAGATAAGGCAGCTTTCTATACAACTGAGACCTCCCTTCAGTCACAAGCGTATCTGTTGGCTGTGGTTCGCTCATTTCCCCTTACCTGTTGTCACAGTGGCTGGCTACTTTCTGTCTTTCTCCCCACTGCTTTCTGTGGCAGCTGGGAGCCCAGGTATTGTTGGCTTTTTTCCTTTTTGATGCTGCAGACACAGTATTGGCAGCCAGCACACGGAGCAAAGACAAAGGCAAGCAGAGAACTGTGAGGGTTGTGAAGCTGTTGAAAGAAGATGTGTGTGAGCTTGAGGTGGTCCATGTCTAGGAGCAAGGCTCTAGTCCAGCGAGAGGGAACATGTGTCCATCCAGATGTGACTAGACTGGCACTCCCACCTCATCTAGTCAGCTGGCTAGTGTTGAGGGTGGAAGAGATCTGAAGGGCCCCTCATTCCTCATCCCTCTTGTTGGCACTAGTGCCTGCCTGGCCAGGTATGCCTTTGTTTCTGTGGTATGGCCCAAGAACAGTTGGGTTCTATGTCTCCCCATCCTACCTCTGCCTGATTTCCATGACTCACTCTTTTTCTGCATGCATAAATTGAAAGCTGAACTTCTGGAGGGAGCTGGACATGTCAAGGCAGAAGACCCTTGGAACTTAACTGGTCTGATTTAAACCACAATCAAGACCCTTTCCCCTCACTTTGTCTGTCTCTCCCTTCAGCCGTGAGGAATGACCGAAACAAGAAGAAAAAGGATGTGAAAGAGGAGGTGGTGGTAGATAGTTACGAAATGACACCAGAACTGGAAGAACTTATCCAGAAGGTCAGCAAAGCTCATCAGGAAACCTTCCCTTCCCTCTGCCAGCTGGGCAAATACACCACGGTAAGGGTTGCAAGCTCTTGTTTTTGTACATATAGATTCTGCACAGGAGAGAATAAGACATTGGGCACACCAGGCATCCACAAAATCCCCACCAGTTCATTTGGGGTCCTGAAAGATTTTTCATAGTATGCTGGGCTGGTTTAGGTGTACTATTAAGCTGTTGTTCAGAGTTACAAGAATCACAAAGCCTTTCTATGGCCTTGTGAGTGTTCCTCACAACATGTGATGCTGCCACAAAGAAGAATTCAGAAGCATTCACAACTGTTTACAGATTAACAACAGCATGCCATATTATGGAAAACCTAGACAAACTGTGTGGTTAATCTTAATGCTATGGTGGCTCGTGGAAACAAGGCAATTTTAGATTGTAGTTTATCAAGAAGGTTTGTTTTCACTATCCATTGTTGCTGTTAACCATAGTTTCAGACTTGGGTGACATGGTATATGTGGTTAGTCTAAAATGTGAGCTCATGAACTCCTTGCAGCTATATCAGAGGTAAGCAGGGGAAAGGCACGCCAAAGTGGAGATTAAGCCCATTCTTGCAACGCTAAACTGAAGTTCAGCATTGTTGCCAAGTTCAACCACTAACTCTGCATTGTGTGCTTAATAAGCATTTTGCATTGTACAAGTTTGCACTACATCATCTGGATTTTTCTTCTATTTAAGGGTGAATTATGTTTCCAACCCCTTCGATTATTCTAAATGTATACATAGTCTTGACATTCCTCTAGTTACAAAACTATTGATTTCAAATATTTAAACCACTGATAAAGGAATGTGTGGAGCAAGAGAATCTGGGCCAGCATGGACCAGTAACTTCTCTTCCGAAAACTAATAGCTAGTTCTAAGAAGTATTGTGGCAGGCTCATGTGGTGTAGTAGTTAGTAGGGTTGGAGCAGGACTTTTGAGAGATCTGGGTTCCGATCCCCACTGAGCCATGGCTTCATGTGAGAAGGTGCAGGTGCAGACAAAATAGGGAAGAAGGAATGAAGTTCTTCATCCTGAGCTTACTGAAGGAAGGACAAGATATAAATGTAAATAAATGATATAAATGTAAATGAAGATTAGCATCTGTTTAGTCCTTAAGTAGTTGGGCCAAAACTCCCATGGATGGGGATATACCCCTCATCCATACTTTATCTGGGGAATGTGGGTATCCTAGTTTGTAGGTCCTCAGCTGCAGTGCCAGCTGGCTGTGCTCTGAGGGACAGTGGGCTGCACCAAGGGTGCCCCTACCATTTTATTTGTTGTTAGGTGATTTTGCTTAAGAGAAAGAGGGAAGGGGAAAACCTCAAGCAGGGAAGGAAGGAAAGAAGATAGTACAAAGAGAGAACAGAGGGAAGATGCCAATGTATGGTTTTTCTTAAAAAGAGTTGGGATGAACTCCTTAAAGGTAGATCTCAGTTTTGAAAAGGCAAAAGACTACAATGTGATTTCGGTCCTACATTGGCACCTACTGTCAGATCTCTGTAAAAGGCCAAATAGGAAATTTGGAGTGACTTGGAGTCATCTGTGGATGCACGTGCGCACACCCACCCACTCTCTCACTCTATCTCAAATATCTACGCACATACAGGATACAGGGGGGAAAGGAGAGGCAGCGGTTCCCAGGCCTGACTCCTTGTCTTTTCTGCCTTTCTTCCAGAACTCTAGTGCAGACCACCGGGTGCAGCTGGACTTGGGGCTGTGGGACAAATTCAGTGAACTGGCCACCAAGTGCATCATCAAGATTGTGGAGTTTGCCAAGCGTCTGCCAGGCTTCACCAGCCTCAGCATCGCTGACCAAATCACCTTACTCAAGGCTGCCTGCCTAGACATCCTGGTGAGGGGCTGGAACTCATCAGGAGTGGGTAAAAAGGGGGCGGTGGGTGTATGGTCTTTGGAAGGGGTCAAGGGTGGGGCTGCAGGTATCTGAAGTTGCACAAACTAGAGTTTGACCAGTAGGAGGGGGGAATAAAATCTGAACCAAAATGATCTAATCTTTGCAAAGTATTTGAATGATACAAAATTATGAATATATATGAATAACAATGCTTCCACCAATTAGGAGGAAGTGCAGAGATTTAGGCAAGATGCTGGGAAGTCCACTAGAAAAACGACTCAGCTCCACCACCGGCTGCTGAGGTTTCACTGGCTGTCTTTACAGCTTCCAAGAATTCCACCATCGCAGTGGTTTTCGACTGTAGATTCCCAGACATTCTTGGAGTAAAACTCCTAGAAGCCTTCACTACTAGCTGTGCTGGCCAGGATTTCTGGGAATTGTGATCCGAGAATATCAGGGGCCTCAAGGTTGGGAATTAATCCTTAGGATTAAGGGCCCAAACTTGAAAGAATGAAGGTTCCCAAGATGCCTGGGCAGAATTAAAGAGGACAGACTGCAATCATGCACATCTGGATTTACTGTCAATAGATCCTTTTCTCTCTCTCTCTTTTTTTTGGAGACTAATTTTTACTCTTTTCTCTGGTCCTCTCCACCCCACATCACAGATGCTCCGCATTTGCACCCGTTACACTCCAGAGCAGGATACCATGACCTTCTCAGATGGTCTGACCCTGAACCGTACACAGATGCATAATGCTGGATTTGGACCCCTCACTGACCTGGTCTTTGCATTTGCTGGGCAATTACTGCCCCTTGAGATGGACGACACGGAGACAGGCCTGCTCAGTGCCATCTGCCTCATCTGCGGAGGTATAAGAACTCTGCTTCAAATCTGGAAGGTTTATGTCCAGCCCTTCCTATGTAGGCTGGGACTGAAGGGAACTACCTTGCTTTTGAGGAAAGAGTCGCAGGTGGAAAGTATTGCTTACGGGACTACTCTAGGGAGCAGGCAAAAGTGTATGGCATGGAATGGTTGCTTACTTTCATCCACGTACATAACTAGAAGGGGTTTGGGCAGCTTCCATGCCGCTGCTTGTTTACCTCCAGATGTGGTGGACTTCCATCTCTACTACCATCTCCAGGCAGTGCAGCCTGTTGGGCTGTAGACGGTGGGAGTTGAAGTCTATAGTTGCTGAATGTTGCTCTAAGACAGTCATTCTTAACCTTTTAACAAAAATTTGTCCATGGCCATAAATACAATATGAAAGAAACATAGGCTGAATCAGGATGGTATTTAAGTCACATAATGAACCTCATAAGGTGGTGAGGTTCGCTACAGAACCTTGCTCGCAGGGGGCAAAGTCGCATCCACAACAGGCGGAGCCCTGCCTGATGGGGCTGAAAATTAGAGGATATGTTGGTGCTGAGTGAAAAATTGTGAGCACTTTGTGGCTCCCTGTAAATGGGCCAGCCCCCCCCCATATGGCCCCCATGGAGAATGGCTGCTCTCAGATGTTACTAGGTAAAAAGAGGGGAGGAGAAATTTCCTGTAGTGCCTTCATGTTCTAGCTTTTTTTCCCAGTGCTATAACAGGGGAACATTCCTCTAATCCTACATCCAAAGAGGACAAAATGAAATCATTTAGACCGAAGTGCAGAGCTGTGCTAATTGGTTGCCTCCTTGGGGCTATGGGACTAGTTCCTCTGTCTTCAGCAACAGAGCTGTCTATTCATCTGCTTCTCTTACCTGATGTGTGCCCTTCCTTGCGACCAGCAGTTAAACATGAGGGAATGGACAGGCTGCTGAGCAGTAGAGATGGAAGCTCCAGCTTCCACAGTGGTCCTAGCCTAGTTCCTTCCTGTGTGTAAAGAAATAGTCAGAATAAAAATCTCAGGGCAAGACATAATCTTCACATTCTCAGAGGTGATTTGCATATATGAGGAGCCCAAATTGTGCACAATTTCTGCACTGGTGCAATTGTGGAAAATGAAAAACTACGAGAACGGCTGCTTTGCTGTTCCAAAAAAATAGAAGTGTGAGAGTTAGTTTGTGCCAATTGTGTAAACCACTGCAAGAAAAAAAAGTTTCTAGTGTCTCAGTCTTGTGCTGGAGATGAGATCTCTCAGAGAACCTTGAGAATCCTCAGGAGGATTGTGCCTCAACCATCAGTGTAAAACACTTTCCCATCCTTACCCTCTATTGCCTTCTAAGTGCAATTCAAAATTCTGGCGATGACCTGCAAGGCCCTAAATGACTGTGTTCTACTACAAATATTTAGATTGGCTTGAAACCCTCTCTAAATTACCACCACTGGGGCATTAAATTGAGCACACAAATTTTTTTTTTAGACAGGACATTCTTATCAGTGACCCAGTAGTTTTTCGCTTTCCTACCTCAGAGGAAAGGTGCATAAAAATCAGTAATTTAAAAAAAATTGCAAAAACTTAAATTACAAAATCATTTTTAAAAATTTTAATCATCCAAACCCCCCCCAACTTTTAAAAAATTTAAATTGTGACTTAAATCAATTTGATTTAAATCAAATCCATTCTGCTTAGAGGACAGCCTAGGAATCAGGTATATTTTGTGTGTAATTTTATCAGCTTCAACTCTTGTAAATAGAGTAGAAATAGAAGCCAATGGTTATGCTTGTCGCCATTTCCTGTTTGTTTGTTTGTTTGTGATATTCATGTGCTGCTTCTCTATATACCTGCATTGGCCTCTTGTATGTTTTGCTAAGTGGTTAGGCAAGGGCCAAAAATGGAGGGGTGCCCCATGAGGGCTGCCTGGTGAGGATCAGGTTTTAGCGGCTAACAAATCACACCTTTGTGCTTAACTGTGTAAATGCAAACACTCTTAATTTGTAAATAGAACTTTTGAGCCCTCTTTCCCCAATGAAAGTGCTCAACAGTCATGTGCAGTTAAAAGAGATAATGGTACAGTGGTGCCCCGCTAGACGATTACCCCATTTGACGATGAAATCGCTTGACGATGAGGTTTTTGCGATCGCTATAACAATCGCAAAACGATGATTCAGTGGGGTTTTTCCGTTTTACTATGATCAGTTCCCTGCTTCGGGAACTGGTTTTTCGCATTACAATGATTAAAAACAGCTGATCGTCAGGTTTTCAAAATGGCCGCCCGCTGTTGTTCGGACCTATTTCTGGAAGACAGCGATGCAAAATGGCTTCCCCTATGGAGGATCTTCGCTGGTCGAGCAGGGATTTCCCCCATTGGAATGCATTGACCGGTTTTCAATGCATTTCAGTGGGGTTTTTACTTTCGCTTGACAACAATTTTGCTTAACAGCAATTTGCCTGGAACGCATTATTGTCGTCAAGCGGGGCACCACTGTATAATGTTTACACCCACACCCTGATGGTTGGATATACTTACAGCATTTTCTGCCCCACCTTTTTATGAGAGAATCAACATGTCCTGCAGAAGATAAAGCACCCTAACCAACCAACCAACCAGCAAGCAAGAATTCCATGTCTTTCTCTTCTCCATAGATCGAATGGACCTGGAAGAGCCAGAGAAAGTAGATAAACTGCAGGAGCCACTTCTGGAAGCATTGAAGATCTATGCTCGCCGGCGTCGGCCCAACAAGCCTTACATGTTCCCCCGCATGCTGATGAAAATCACAGACCTGAGGGGGATCAGCACCAAAGGTGGGTTTAGCCAGTCAACACAGTTCTACCAGCAGATGGCTATATAATGGCCAAAATCCTGTTGCTTTGCATAGTAAATTGTACTAGAGTAAACCTGAGGGATATTAACAATTCTTTGGGTCCGAGTCTAAGTCCTCTTCTGGACTCCAACTGCCAGAATCCCCAAACAGCATGGAATTTGGGGCCTTACTCCCCCACCCCACCCCCAAACCTCTCTCTCACTGCTCTGAATGGTGGTGGGGATGCCCTCCTCCTCCTCCCTTGGAGTGACTGGAAATATGGTGGCAGCCGAGCAGAATGCCTTGCCCAATGCATTCTGGAAAGCTGCCGGGCCACCATGTAGGAAGTAAGGATCCCAGAGCCTGGTTATCTGAGTGAGATTGGTGTTGCCAGGGTGACGGGGATGGCTCTGGGCTGCCTTGAGGCTTGTTTTTTGAGCCCAGGGCTGGTAGGGTGGTGCCCTGTTGCAGCCAAGGCTTGGGAGGTAGCAGGCCCTCTTGTTGAGGGTCCTGCTGCTTCTCACTAACTCGCAACTCAGAAAAATGGGCCTGAGTCACAAGTTGAGCAAGTCTTTTTGTAAAATAAACTAGTAGACCTATATGAATCAATGGGATTTGTGGAGGAATTGACTTACCAAATGCCCATTGATCAGTAGTGGGCTTACTCTAGCATGATTGACTACACTAAGCAACAGGATTTGACCAAAATGTGAATCTGCCCCTGCCCCACCGACAACTATGACTGTTATGTAGAAGATAAGGAGTAGCGGTAGAAGGCCCCCCCCCCCCCATGGATTGTTGTCAGTCTCAGACATTTATTTAACTGGGACGGCTTTTGTGCCTGACATTTCATGATAGTAGAACACATTGGGGTTTACGAATTTGTCTTCTTTTCCGGAGGTCGGTGGTATTGGCCCCTGTGGCCTCCACTGAGTGCCCTCACACTCCTGCTAACAAACCTAGCCCTGCTCTTGTTGTTCCTGCCACTACGTAGAACGGCGTGACCAGGGTTGCCACAGAGTGTCCAAAGGGAGTGTGATTCTGCTGCAGAACAAGGCTTGCACTCCTTGTTTTTGCAACACATTCCCCACTAGAACCATGCTGTTTCTTCTGGTCAGCGATACATTTGGTGAGGACAATGGCAGGGATCCCTTTGAAGGCCACAGAAGTGACCAGGGGAGCAGTATGGATATGGCCTCTGGGTGGTCCATGTGTCCCCACCCTTCTGCGGCTAAAAGACCAATCCAGTGCCATATGTTTGCTCCCTCCTTATGCTTGGCAGGGCTGCCACTTAGCAGATGGCAGCCATCACATCCTGGATGGAGCTGGTCCACAGCGATGCTTGCTGTGCAACCTCTTCATTTTATCAACCTTCCTGCTCTGGAAACTCACCGCCTTCTGCATTTCTCCCTTTCCCTCGCAATAGGTGCCGAGCGAGCCATCACCCTGAAGATGGAGATCCCGGGCCCCATGCCGCCACTCATCCGAGAAATGCTGGAAAATCCTGAGATGTTTGAAGACGAACTGCCTCAGCCTCCACCGTTGGCCAGAGCCCCCAGCAAGGAGGAGACCCCAGCTGACCCGAAGAGCCAGGAGGAGGAGGAGGCCCCCTAGCACCTCAAAAGAGCCACAGGATCTTAGGCTAGGAAAGGCCAGGAGAGGAAAACCTGTTCACATCTCTCTCCTCCATCCTTCCTGTTGCCAGTTTCCTCCAGGACACTTTGTTCGTGCTTGCCTTTCCTGCTCTTGGCGTGCCCAAGCCAGAGTCTGAGGTAACGGCAACACTCCCTAACCGACTCGGAGGCGCCGCGTCCCCCTCTCCGTCGTGTATTTGATGACTTGTGGAGAGGGGGTGAAGAGGGGATGCCTTTTGCCTTAACCTTTCTCCCATGGGGCCTTGGATGTATATTCGGAAGCCATTGCCCCCCCCCTCAACCCACCCCCTAAGCTTTGCCAAAGTCTCCCAAGGGCCCGTCCACTTGAGGCGGGCACCCTCAAGCCAAATATTCTGGGAAGCCCCCCGAGGGGTGAGACTCGAAGACCTTCCCTTTCCGAGCGGGCTAAGCTGCCAATGTGCAATTCCCCCCCAACCCCTTGCCTGTGAGGTGGGGGGAAGGGGGTACCTCAAGAGCTGAGAGAGAGAGAGAGAGACTCTTCCACTCACGGCAGGCCCTCTGCCAGGGGTTCTTGCCTCCTCCCCAGTCCACAGCCTTGGTGGGAAGTCAGACATATCCTTTGGCCTTCCCAGTCGGGAACCCAGGCATCCGGGACACTATTTATTCAAGCTTCTGAAGAAGAGAGACCGATGACCTGCACTCCAGCCATCTCCCCCTCACATCCCATCTCACACACACAGGGAATTGGACCCATAAGTATGGGGTATGGGCAAGCACAAAGTCAGGAAGACTTCAGCACAAAAACACCTCCTTATTGTGGGCTTTTAGGTGCCTGGGTGTTAATATCCATTTCTTATGGAGCCCAATGAGATGTGGAATTTTTTTATTATTATTTTATTTTTGGAGGAAGGTGAGCTGTGAGGGGTGGGGGTGGGGGCTTTTTAAAAAGCTGTATAAAGTGCTAATGTCTTACTGTTGGGACAGGAGATCAACCCCATAGTGGGGTTTGGGAAGGTGCGGCAGACCTTCCTGCTGCCTCCTCAGTCCCAAAGCAGAGGGGTAACAGGGTGGGGTGGGGTGGGGGAAACACTATCTGTTCTCGCTTGGGATGCTTTTGACTCCGGTGCCAAGGAGCTCTGGGAAACAGACCCCAAAGGACACTAGTTACCAAAGACGATGAGGAAAGGGTGGGGGGTTGGGTGGGCGTGTATGCCCAAAGCTACAGACTTGAACCCTCCTGCTGTCCCGCAGGGCCCATGAGAAGCCAAGCAGTCCTCCACCCAGGCAGGGGGAGCACTACTTCACCTTAACAGGCCTTTTAACTCTTGTTTCTCCTGCACTTTGGGGAAAGCAGGCCACTCCTCCTGCGGGGAGATTGGTCAGCCCACTAAATCCCTTACCCACCCACCCCAGCAAAAGTGGATGTGTATTTTGCTTCGCCACCACAGCTCCTGGGGACCAAATAAAGATCCAGCACATGCTTTCTCTTGTCCCAGGAGGGCAAGAGCCTTGCAGAAAACATTTAGATGGTTCACTTCACCCTGTGCTGCTTACAGGAGGAACTGAGTGAAACCTTAACACTACAGTGCGGGGAGAGCAGATCCGTTCCACCATCACCCTTGCTGCTGTTTCACCATTAGTAGCTGCTGTGTCATCTCTCCCTCCATCCCCACCCTTCACAGTACCTTCGCCAGAAGGCAGGCAGTCAAGCCAGCCCTGATGAATGCAAGATTTTGCACCATTCCTGAGGGAAGGCACAGCACCCCAGTACAGCTTTCAGGGGAGATGGTCTGCCCTTTGCCTTCATGGTGGCTTTTGGGGTGAAAATGGAAGGTGCTGCTGCCCTCTGCTGCCCATGAGCAGGGCGACAGCATCGGTGGATCTACTACAGTGGTGCCTCGCTTGACGATGATAATGTGTTCCGTTAAAAATTGCTGTTAAGCGAAATCGTCAAGCGAAATTAAAAAACCTGTTGAAATGCATTGAAAACCATTCAATGCGTTCCAATGAGTGAAATACCTCATTGTGCAGCGAAGATCCTCCATAGGGCGGCCATTTTCTGGTGCCTGTATAGCGAGGAATTTGTCCTTAACACAGTGGGCAGCCATTTTGAAACCCGACGATCAGCTGTTTTTAGATTGTCGTAATGCTAAGAATCAGTTCCCGAAGCAGGGAACCGATAGTTGTGAAGTGAATTTTCCCCATAGGAACATCATTTAGCGATAGAAAAAACCCATCGTAAAGCAGATTCGTTGTTTAACGAGGTAATCGTTAAGCGAGGCACCACTGTATTTATTTGCTTATGTTTACACCAGGGCAAAGGTAGCGTGGAGAATTATGTCTTCACCCCATCATAACTCAGAGCAGGGGTTTGGGAACAGTAGTTCCCAACATGGGTTCTGCTGAGCTCTTTTGGCTTGTTTCCAAGTGGTTTTAAAGCTGCCGAAAGGACATAAATGAGTGAACCCCAGGCTTTAAAATGGGGTCTGTTTGCTATGGGGCGGGATGGAAAAGAGGGTGAAGCCTTTCTGTGATGTTTACAGACCAGCGTTCCGCAATATTTTTAGAGGAACTCTCCTGCCCCTACACTCCCAGCCGTGCCGCAGAAGATGGGGGGGCTTTTCTATTTTTGCAAAATAAAGTGATGGAAACTCAGATGCCTCTTCTGAATTTCTGTTGCCTCTGAGCTGGTGTGTGTTTTGATGTGGGGTCGCTGGAAGTCTGAGATACAGGGGGCCTTCTAGCTCATTGCTAAACAGGGGGTGTTCTAGCTCATTCTCAATCACTGTGATCAGGTGGCCATCAGACAGGACTCTTTCATAGTCCTGTCCACCACCACCCTGGCACCAAGTTTTCGAAGGCTCCTCTGGAGTGGAGCAGATTGCTGGGTTCATACTGCCTCTTGCTATTTAGTTTGCATTTAATCAGTGGTGCTCTGGTATTAACAGTATATTAATTCCAATACTGTTTCTTCTCTTGTTCTTAAAGAAGCTATGCAGGAACACAGTGCTTTATGTTCTGAATCAAAATTGTTAGCTACTGGACCCATAGTCCTGCCTCTTTCCTTCAAAGAGAAGGCTATAGTGTTCTATACTTCGTTGTTTCTCACTCTTGGGCCGTTTAGATCTCTCTCTCATAATCTCTGACTTGGCCTTGATGCCTGGTTTAACATGAGTTCTCATCACAACTCTGGGATAACATTCTTCAAAATAGGAGAATCAAGGGAATCAGGCTGTGTGGGGCTTGCAGCCCTCTCCAACTCAGAGATTCAGTTATGTTATCTGCCAGAGTCATTCTTCAAAATAGGAGAATCAAGGGAATCGGGCTGTGTGGGGCTTGCAGCCCTCTAAAGAGATTCAGTTATGTTATTTGCCAGGGTGGCAGGACTGAACAATTCTTCCTCAGTCAATGAAGTTATAAGCTTTCAATGTATTACTATGTTTTTGCAACGGAGAATGTATAAAGCAGGCAAAATCTGCAGACTCCCAGTTCTTTGGATGAGGTTCCTACTTCACACAAGCAA